AGTTTTCTGTGATTCCACAAATTATAGCATTTTGTCTATTATTACAAAACAACCACCACCACCCTGGATTATATACAATTACACTTCAATTTTTAAAGCTTATGTTGTGCACACAGTTCAAGGGGAAAAGTTATATTGTAACAGTTGCATGTTAACCTAGTATACGGGATCAATTTTTCTTTTAATTCCTGGAGCAATTGGGATTTACGGGAATGATTGGCCTTGACAGAACCAGAAGTTCATTTACAATATACACAGATGTGTCTGAGGATCGTTAAACAGTAGTTTATTTTTTAGGATGTACAAATTTTGCCAACTATGTTAATGGCTTTACAGTGATGGTAGGATTTTAAAGTATTCAGAGTGCTTAGTAAATAAAATAACCCCATTTTTACCATCCATACTATTTTCAAATATCCAATACAGAAAGTCAAACTATACTGTTTACTTATGTTTGAAACTTGGAAAAAATAAGGCAAGATGACAATAAAATTGTGAGTGATGGAAACAGTGATATCTTTTTTTTTTTAAACGTTAGTGGATTTTACCTTTACTATACCACCAGTCTGTTTCTTCCTGCTTCATCATGCCTGTGTCTGACTCTTGAATATGGGCTTTCTCGATGTTATAGTATTCTGTATTTATTGACAAGAGTATCATTTATGGGATTACAGCACGGGAAAGTAATCTCCTCTGTACTGTTGTCAGCTGCACTTGCTCGAGATGCATAAGGGTAGGTGAGCCCTTTTAATCCTGTAAAACTATGCTGCTTTTGAAATGGTTGAACATGAAGGACATGATGTACCTGCAGAACCCTGTGTGAATTCGATGAAGTGCTCTAATACGTAGGGATTAAGAGGGGTATGTGATGATCATGAATCATTGTTCCCCTAAAGCCTTCTTTGTGTGATCCCCAGAGCGATCCCTATTCCAAACCAAGGGAAGGGGTCAGTTGAAGCCATTCAAATTCACTCCCTGATCCCCTCCCAAATCTAGCAGCCAAATACCCTCATCCAAAAAAATATTCTTCTGTATGCACAGCTGCAAGTAGACATCCCCCCCCCAAAAAAAATTTATTTCCCCACAGCAGACACCCTGTGAGGTAGAAGAAGAAGAAGAGATTGGATTTATACCCCCGCCCTTCACTACCCAAAGGTGTCTCAGAGCGGCTTACAAACTCCTTTTCCTTCCCCTCCCCACCACAGACACCCTGTGAGGTAGGTGGGGCTGGGAGAGCTCTAACAGAAACTGCTCTTTTTCGAGGACAGCTCTTATCAGAACTATGGCTTGCCCAAGGTCATCCAGCCAGGTGCAAGTGGAGGAGTGGGGAATCAAACCCGGTTCTCCCAGATTAGAGTCCGCGCACTTAACCACTACACCAAAGTGGCAGGAAGGAGGAATGTGAATATGTTCCTTCTGCAATATCTGGTCAGGGCGTTATCAGTTTTCTAAGTTTAAAACCATACTTACTTTAGAGTAAAAGGCACAGGACTGTGTCATAAGTCCCCTGTGCTCAATGTGTTTGCTCCCAGAGAATAGGTCTTGTGGCATCTTAAAGACTATCAATTTGTGTCATGAGCTTTCATAGGCCTGAGGCAAATCGTGCCTTTGAAGTGGAGAGAAAGAGTCAACAGCATTGTCCTTTTTTATCCAGAGTAATAATGTGTGTGTATATGTGGAGGAGGAGAGCCTAGAGGTGTGAAGGCCCTGGGAAAAATCTGGTAACTCCCAAGGCTCTTTGGGGAAAAAATTAAGTAGCTCCCAGAAAAATAAAGTTTGCTGACCCTTGATATAGAAGCAGTGACCATTCACAACAGCAGTGAGTAGCATTGTTTAATCTAGTGGTAGGGCTTTATTTATAAAGACATCACTGTGTAGAAGTGCAGACTGTGATGAACTGGGGTTGCAAATGCAGGCGAGCAACACTCTGCTCAACCTGTTGTTGATACACACTCCAGGGTTCTTTAGGAAATCTCCCATTTCTCCCTTCTTACAATGCAAACAATAAGGAGAATAAACAACAACACTCTATTAGACACTTGAAGACAATAGGTGAAGAAATTTACAAGCCCAGGTCAACTGGAGGATGAGGTTCAGACCTCTGCTGTGAAAGCACTACTCTTTAAATTGAATTAGATTATTTCATAATGAAGCAAGTGCGGTCTATACATGTTGAGAAATACTCTGTTACTAAAAAGTGAAAGATGTATGTGATCTGAAGAGAAACCAGAGTAAATATACAAACGTTTGTTGAAAGTGGAGATAAAGGAAGAACAGGTGAAAGAATTTATGTAAAATGGGCAAAAATCTGCATATAACATACAAATTGAACAATGAGAAAATATGTGGCTGAAGGGTCTTAAATTTACATTTAAGTCCTAGTCTGAAACAGAATTTTTATAAAATGTATCAGTGGTATACTTCACCAGATAAATAAACTGAGAGCCAGTTTGGTGTAGTGGTTAAGTGTGTGGACTCTAACCTGGGAGAACCAGGTTTGATTCCCCACTCCTCCACTTGCACCTGGCTGCATGATAAGAGCTGTTCTTGAAAAAGAGCAGTTTCTGCCAGAGCTCTCTCAGCCCCACCTACCTCACAGGGTGTCTGTTGTGGGGAGGGGAAGGGAAAGGAATTTGTAAGCCGCTCTGAGACACCTTCGGGTAGTGAAGGGTGGGGTATAAATCCAATCTCCTCTTCTTCTCTTCTAAAAACATTTTGAACAGATGTTGGGAGTGTGAACAGCATGAAGGGGCATTTTATGACCTATGATGAATGTTTAAAAAAGCAAAAAAAAATCTGGATACAAATTCATTTATTCAAAATATTTTGAAGAATAATATACAAATGAAACTGGAGGCTTTTTTGCTGGGATTAATGGACAAACAGAAATCACACGTGGAACTTTGTTTCTGTATATGACATTGTTGTTGTTGTTCAGTCGCAGTCGAGTCCGACTCTTCGCGACCCCATGGACCAGCTCCCGCCAGGCCTTCCAGTCTTCCGCCGTCCTCTGAAGTTTGCTAAATTTCATGTTCGTTGCATCTATGACACTGTCTAACCATCTCATCCATTGCCGTCCCCCTCTTCTTTGACCTTACATGCTCAAAAATGGAAAACGTCGACATTACCTACAATAGCGAAATGGTTGGTGAAGATGATGGCGCTTGCAGAAATGGCCAAACTTACTTCTTTGATTAAGGAAACCTAATACTATCGAGAAACCCCTTATAGACTTTTTGAGCGAAATGGAAAACAAAATGAACGGTTGATTGGTGCTTCTGATTAAGGGGGAAGATTACTACAGCGAAATATGTGCTTTTCTTATTGCATCTTTAGAGAAAGTGTGCAACATGTAAATACATATGCATGTCACAGAAAAAGCCAGGGTATTCCTTTCTATTTCTTTACAACTGTTACAATTCTGTGTTTTCTTTTTTACCTTCTGTTCAAAAACCCTTAATTTTATATAAATTTAATTTATCATGCATCCCAGCTAGAAACTTAACAGCCAACACTGAGCATGGAAACTCCACCAGGGGTTCACACCCGACTGGAGACAGGAGTTTATTCATCCATCCAGCCGTTTGAGTGTGATCCTGCTTCACTCGGCATTACGCCCCACCAGCTTCCATAGCGCCAAGAAAGCATGCTCGCGCTTGACCGCAGACACCTTATAAGTAGCGTTCCCTCTAAGCTGAGTTCGTGGGAGCCAGCTCACAGTTTTTTAGCCTCCGGCTCGCACATTTTCGCCTTAACTCAGGAAGGAGAGAGCTTCAGAGCAAACTAACTGATGCCGCAGCCCAATCGCCTGCTCACAACTTCAATGCCAGCAGCTCACCAAGTAGAATTTCTGCTCACAAGCAATGCTCCCTCTAAGCCGTGGAGTCCTGTGAGCAAAAAATTCTACTTGGTGAGCTGCTGGCATTAAAGTTGTGAGAGCGAGTGATATGGCGACTGTATCAATCAGTTTGCTCGGGAGCCCTCCCTTCCTGAGCGAAGGCAAAAGTGTGCGAGCTGGAGGCTAAAAAACTGTGAGCTAGCTCGCACTAGCTCAGCTTAGAGGGAACACCGCTCACAAGACTCCACAGTTTAGAGGGAGCATCTTGTAAGCAATGTTCCCTCCCTCTAAGGTGTGGAGTCTTGTGAGCAAAAATTCTACTTTGTGAGCCACTGGCATTAAAGTTGTGAGCGAGCAATTTGGCTGCTGCATACATTAGTTTGCTCTGGGGCCCTGCTTCCTGAGCGAAGGCAAAAGTGTGTGAGCTGGAGGCTAAAAAACTGTGAGCTAGCTCGCACTAGCTCAGCTTAGAGGGAACACCGCTCACAAGACTCCACAGTTTCGAGGGAGCATCGCTTGTAAGCAATGTTCCCTCCCTCTAAGGTGTGGAGTCCAGTGAGCAAAAATTCTACTTTGTGAGCCACTGGCATTAAAGTTGTGAGCGAGCAATTTGGCTGCTGCATACATTAGTTTGCTCTGGAGCCCTCCTTCCTGAGCGAGGATAAAAATCTGTGAGCTGGAGGCTAAAAAACTCAGCTTATTGGGAGCACTCAGCTTATTGGGAGCACTGCTTATAAGTACTTGGGCAGGGCCGGATTTAGACTTGCTGAGGCCCTAAGCTATACAAAACCCAGAGGCCCCCTACTGATCTCAATTTTTTTAAAAATATATACGCCTTTTTAATATTTGAAATATTTTTATATTGTGTTTTTATTTGAGGCCCCAGCAGATTGCGAGGCCCTAAGCTGTAGTTTATTTAGTTTATGCGTAAATCCGGCACTGTTAACTTGGGGAATAACACAAGCCCAGCTTCCAAAACGGAGCGGCTGCGCCCGAGAAGGCGAAAAGCGCGCACAGCGACGCCCACAATCCGTCAGCTACTCTGCCGCTTCCCCCTTTTCCCCCCACCCATAGCCATAGCCCTGCTAGTAGGAGCGCCGCCCACACTGTTTTCAGCGGAGGAAGGCTCTCTGGTGCCTTCGGGAACTTCCGGAGGCGGTGCCTTCGGTTCGGCTCGGCTATGGAGGGTCTGCGGGGAAATTGGACCCAGACGCTGTTTGTTTGGGTAAGTTCCTGCAGGGGGCGGGAGCGGTTGTCGCCGCTGGGGGACTGGAGAGACCGCGGTAGAGCGCAAAGCCTTACTGCCGCAGCTCCTGCACACCGTTTCCATCAACACCGCAAACACAGACTGGAGAACATTGCAGAGAATGGCTCCGCACATCTCGCGTCTCGCAGTGTTCCCTCTACGCTGAGTGAGCGTGAGCCAGCTCACGGTTCTTTAGCCTCTGGCTCGCACTCTTTTTGGTCTTCGCTCAGGGAGGAGGGCTCCAGAGGAAGCTGATTTATGCAGCAGCCAGTGTTCCCTCTAAGCCGTGGAGCCTTGTGAGCAAAAATCCTACTTTGTGAGCCACTGGCATTAAAGTTGTGAACAAGCGATTGGGCTGCTGCCAGTGTTCCCTCTAAGCCGTGGAGCCTTGTGAGCAAAAATCCTACTTTGTGAGCCACTGGCATTAAAGTTGTGAACAAGCGATTGGGCTGCTGCCAGTGTTCCCTCTAAGCTGAGTTAGTGTGAGCTAGCTCACACTAACTCAGCTTAGAGGGAGCATTGCTTGCGAGTTATGAACGGGTCAACTGGAGAAAGGGGATAACCTATAGTCTTTATTGTATTATTTCTATTGCATCTACTGCTTAATCAGTCCATATTCTACTGAATATTACAAGATTGGTAGGATATTTTCATAACCACTTGAAACAGTGAGCCAGAATTTCTGGCATGCTGATCATTTTACCTGTGTATAATGTTCAGATTCGTAATGCCCTTTCCCTTCCTTCCCAACAAGAAATATTACCCTGTATTTTTATTACTGCTGTTTATAGTAAACATATAGCACCAGATACTAATAGCACTTTTCAGACTAAGCACATACTATATGAGGAGGACTCTGCTTTCTGTCTCTCCAATGGTTTTTTTTGTGTCCATAGCAAAGCTAATGTTCCCTCTAAGCTGTGGAGTCTCATGAGCAAAAATTCTGCTTTGTGAGCTACTGGCATTAAAGTTGTGAGCAAGTGATTTGGCTACTGCATAAATTAGTTTGCTTTGGAGCCACCCTTTCTGAGCTAAGACAAAAATGTGAGCCAGAGGCGAAAAAACTCTGAGCTAGCTCACACTAACTCAGCTTAGAGGGAACACTGGCAGCAGCCCAATCGCTCGCTCACAACTTTTAATGCCAGTGGCTCACAAAGTAGGATTTTTTCTCACAAGACTCCACGGCTTAGAGGGAGCATTGCTTGCGAGTTATGAACCGGTCAACTGGAGAAAGGGGATAGCTTATGTTTCTAGGGGTGCCAGTTCTGCATTGGAAAACGCCTGGAGACTTTTGGGGGGTGGATCCAGGAGAGGGCGGGGTTTGGGGAGGGGGCGGGGCCTCAGCCTGGTATAATGCCATAGAGTCCACCCTTCAATGTAGCCATTTTCTCCAGGGGAGCTGATCTTTTGTCAGCTGGAGATCAGTTGTAAAAGCGGGAGATCCCCAGGACCCACCTGGAGGTTGGCAACTCTATGTCATTCTTGGACCAAGGGTGGGATAGAAATCCCTTCTGGGGCAGTAAGTCTCTGAATATCAGTTTGTTGGTCCTCCAGTGCTACTGGTTTATCACTGTATGACATGGAATGTTGCACTAGATGGACTACTGGTCTGATCTAGGAGAGCTCTTCTTCTGGTTTTGAGGAGCAGACAACATTCATACCAGAGTCAGTCCCAGGTCACCAGGGTACTAATCAGCACCTTAGATTATACCTGGGAGCAATCAACACAACAAACTATTTTAGCACAAGTATGATGTGCTGACAGGAGCTACAGCTGGTTTATAGTGGTGTTTTAATGCATGCATGTTAAGCAATGCCTTAGCAAGTAAGAACTTGAACAGCTGGTGTTGTAGGTTGGTTATTATGATCAAATCTAGGGAAATCTAGATTTGAATTTTTAGTGAGGAAACTGACTATGGATCTTGGGCCTGGCATACATAGCCTAGTCCGGCTTCATGGGAGTTTTTATGATAGCATAATTGGATAACTTTTGTGTAAGCTTGAGTGGTTAAGACGCTGAACTGTAGGCTGGAAGGTCGGTAGTTCAGCAGTTCGAGACCCGCGTGCCGCATGACGGAGTGAGCGCCCGTCTCTGGTTCCAGCTCTTGCCAACCTAGCAGTTCGAAAGCAAGAAATTGCAAGTAGATAAATAGGTACCGCTTCGGTGGGAAGGTAACAGCGCTCCGTGTGCCTCGGTGTTTAGTCATGCCGGCCACATGATCACGGAAACGTCTTCGGACAGTGCTGGCTCTTCAGCTTGCAAACAGAAATGAGCACCGCAACCCTAGAGTTGGACTCAACTGAGTTTTGAGCAAGGGGAACCTTTACCTTTACCTAAGCATTCTGAACTCTTTGACTACAAATGTGTTAGAACTAGAATTCAGAATACTAGTTCATTGGAAAACAGTGCCAGATTTAAACACAGAATCCTGGAATTAATTGGGTTAAACAAACAGGCCTGACTCACCTTTTTTTGCCTTTATGCTTACAGGGAGCAAATAATTATGGACAGCTTGGTCTTGGCCATAAACAAGATGTGCTCCTACCCCAAGCCCTAAAGGAGTTTGCTGGTAGTCAAAGAACCCTCAGAAATGTTGCTGGCGGTGGGGGACATTCTGCAGTTATTACTGGTAACAAATTAGCTTTCATGTTTTCCACGCATTGGCAAAGTCTAGCCTAGCCTGTTTTCAAACTTCATCAACGTGCTTGGTTGCTACCTGTGTGTGCTCTAAGGTTTCTGACAATTGCAGTTTTACATTTTCTTCAGAGGAGGAGGATGGCATACCGTTTGGCTGATGAGCCTTTCAGTTTGTGTTCTCAGTCAATGGATATGGTGTAAAACCGAGCCTGTAACACAGAACAAAAATCTAAACATTCTGCCTTTGACGTGACCTGATAAAACTTTCCCCGGCACCTGAAACAAGCAGGGCATTAATCAAAGACTGTCTTGTCCACTCCCAATCATTGCTAATGGAAGGTGTTTAAGAAGTTCTTAATTTTGGTTTTTTTGTACTGATGCATAGCAACTTAATTAGAAGTTTTCCCGAAGTTTTCCGGCTCTAGTCTTAAATAAATGTGCAGTTATTTTCTTTTTATTAATGTTACAATCCACTTTTACGGGTGTAACTTTGCTGTTCAATGTTGCTTTCTTTATAGTGTGTGTGTTCTTGGATTATAGTCTTAGTTGGTAATCTTCCTCTGTAACTTTTTCACGGGTTTTTTCAGTTTTTGGGATTAGGACGGCAGGAATTGCTGCTGACAGAATTCAAGACACCGATGCCCTAGTAGTTTATACGCCCTAGTAGTTTATATACTTTCAGTGTTCCCTCTAAGCTGAGTCAGTGTGAGCTAGCTCACAGTTTTTTAGACTCTGGCTCACACATTTTTGTCTTAGCCCAGGAAGGATGGGGCTCCAGAGCAAACCAACTTATGCAGTAGCCAAATCGCTCACTCACAGCTTCAATGCCAGTGGCTCACAAAGTAGAATGTTTGCTCACAAGACTCCAGAGTTTAGGGGGAGCATTGCTTGGGATTAGTCACAGCATCTTCCAACTGCACTAGAATTGCCGGATACTAATTGGAAATCTGTTCTTTCTCAGATATTATGATGGAACAATACCCAATCTACATATAGTTATGAAAAATCTATGCTGTTTAAACCAATTTGATGAGTTGCGTTTTATTTTATTTATTTATTTATTTTTAAAACTGCCCCCAAAGGGGCAGGGTTTTATTACATTTTCCACACAACATACACAGACAATCATAACATATACAGACATATACATACATACTAACAGTACAAACAAATACATGGAGGCTATTTTCAATTTTTACCAATATTTGTTTATACTGGTGCCTATTCCATCTTAATAACAATTTCTCATGAACTGTGTAAGCAACTTTTCTGTCTCTATCATCCTAACAGGTATATATTTCATTTAGTAAACTCTTAGTCTGTCTCTTGCAAGCTTGCCTACATATGTTTATCATACCAATTATAAAACCGTGACCAAGTATTCTGGAATGTCGAATCTGTTGCGCCTTTTATCAATAAAGTCAATTTATCCAATTCCGCAGCCTCCAACACCAGGGTAGGAGAATACTCAGAATTAAAAGAAGAAAAAGAAAATTCACAAAATAGAGGAGCAGCTGGGAGGGTACAATCTCTAAATACTTTAAAAAAATAAAACTCTTCACAACCTTATGGACCAGCTTTATTTAAACCCTCCCCATTCTATCAGGTTAAATACATCACAATAGAATGGAAAGCCACCTACTTAAAGATACACACGCATCACAGCTTCAGTCTGTGGTGGTCTCTGCCCCTGCACCACAGGGCCTGTACACTTTGAGTTGCGGTGTGCTAGCTGGAGACAAGAGGTCTGTTGTGTGGAGTTATCAGTGGAATTCAATAGTGTGCAAGTGTATCTTTCTCAGTACACTTCATTTTACACTTGTGGATCCTACAGGCTTCAGTAATTTCTTTGATGTACTTCCTTAGAGCAAATAGTGGAAGACAGAGCTGTACATTAGTGGAAGACAGAGCTGTACATTATTAAGATTAAAGACTCTTTAGACTTTCCCAGTAGTCATGTATGGCTGTGAGAGTTGGACTATAAGGAAGGCCGAGCGCCGGAGAATAGATTCTTTTGAACTATGGTGCTGGAGAAGACTCTTGAGAGTCCCTTGGGCTGCAAGAAGATCAAAGCAGTCAATCCTAAAAGAAATCAACCCTGACTGTTCCCTGGAAGGCCAGATACTGAAGCTGAAGCTCAAATACTTTAGCCACCCAATGAGAAGGGAGCACTCCCTGGAGAAGACCCTGATGCTGGGTAAGATTGAAGGTCAAAGAAGACGGGGATGGCAAAGGATGAGATGGTTAGACAGTGTCATCGATGCAACGAACATGAAGTTGAGCCAACTTCAGAGGACGGCGGAGGACAGGAAGGCCTGGCGTGATCTGGTCCATGGGGTCGTGAAGAGTCGGACTCGACTGTGCGACTGAACAACAACAACAAAGACTTTCTGGATCAATAGTGATTACTGGATTATCATATGTGTAGCCAGTTAGTCAGACATTACAGCAACAAGCCATAGAACACACATGCTTAAATATAACATTCATATAACTGAATTTAGGGCAGTAAAATGAAACTCTATAAAAATACAGTTGAGCGTAATAAAGTAAAAGAAGAACATAAGACAGAGACTATTAGGGAACTATTATTATATATTTGATCGTGTATTTTGGATGCAGTAGCATGCCACCCAAAATTTTGCCACAGTTTTGGTAATTGTCCGGTTCCCATCAATTAACAATCGGTTACACTGCTCAGCACCTGATTGTCCCACCATATCTGTTATTAGAGGAGTAATATATTTGTCTTGGATCTTGTTATAAGTTACATCTGAGCATTCAGTGGGGATCCTTTTGAATCTGCCCTCAAGCATCACGAAGGGGAAAGGGATTACCGTATGTGTATGATTACGCCGTCTGCCTGTTGCATATCTGCCTAATGATATTTGGTTGTTTTGCAGATACTGGAGAACTGTTTTTGTGTGGCCAGAATAAAAATGGGCAGTTGGGACTCAATCACATAGAAGATGTGATACACTTTACGTTGTGCCCTTCTTTGTCTGGTTGTCCTGTAGTACAAGTTGCCTGTGGTTGGGATTTCACAATCATACTTACAGGTAAATCCATTATACCACGTCTAGGGGAGGGAAGGCGAGGTGGCATGATCTTGTCAGACCTTGAAAGCGAAGCAGAATCGATACTTGCATGCAAGAGGAAAGCAATGAAAACCACCTCTGCTTCTTACGTGCCTCGAAAGCCCCTCGCTGGGGTCACCCTGAGTCAGTTGTGAGTCGATACAGTACATTAGTTGCTGTTAGCAGCCAAAGGAATGTAGAACTTTACAAAGCAGCCGGCTTTTGTTTGGTTTTGTATCATAACTTCATCAGAAGCAAGTCAACTTATATTGTGTAAGAGTTTTCCTTGTATTGTAATGTAACTTCCTGGTTTCTAAAGATATTTATTTCTTCACGAGAGTTGCTACATTTAGTATCGGGACTAGCCCTTCTTTCCTTAAAGGATTTCTCATATAGGACCGGTCTTTGACAGACTGAGCTTCGAAGCTGACTTTTTCAATATAAGTTGACTTGCTTCTGATGACGTTATGATACGAAGCCAAGCAAAAGCCGGCTGCTTTGTAAAGTTCTACGTTCCTTTGGCTGTTAACAGCAACTAATGTACTGAAGTTCTATAAATTCTTTGGCTGTTGGCAGCAACTAGGGTTCTGTTTGAGTTTATTGTAAAGTTAGTATAGTCAGAAATTTGTATAACATTGAGATATTGTATGGTTAGGTTGTATACCTTGTCGATATTTTGTATACTTAGATACCATTATCAAGTATAAAGTGATTGTATTAGCGTACATATTTAAGTGTTTGAATGAATTAATTATACTGATTTTGGCCCCAGTTTTGCTATCTCTATAGTTTTGATACTGAGAGGTCTGTTTTTTGGGTTTGGCTAGTTGTGAGTCGAGGCCATGCCTGTAAAACAGATGTGTGGAAGCAATGGGAACAAGTTCTACACTTTATCATGGCCTTCATAATGTCCAAAACTTATTTTCTAGTCTACTGTGAGTGCAATCAGGGGGATCCCTCTGTCTCTCTCTTACTCACACACACAATTTTATTGACTGTTCAGTTGAGAACTGTTCTATTGTAATGCAATGGTTAAGAAAAGTAACCAATGTTCCCTCTAAGCTGTGGAGTCTTGTGAGCAAAAATTCTGCTTTGTGAGCTACCGGCATTAAAGTTGTGAGCGAGCAATTTGGCTATTGCATAAATCAGTTTGCTCTGGAGCCCTCCTTCCTGAGCTAAGACAAAAAGGTGTGAGCCGGAGGCTAAAAAACTGTGAGCTAGCTCACACCAACTCAGCTTAGAGGGAACACTGAAAGTAACCCCAGTGTTATTTAACATCTACCTGCGCCCCCTTGCCCAGATTGCTCAGAGGCATCGGCTAGGGTGCCATCAATACGCTGATGACACCCGGCTCTGTCTGTTTTTGGGCGGTCAGTCCGACTCTACCCCAGATGACCTGGAGAGGGCGCTTCAGGACGTGGCGGGCTGGCTTAGACTGAGCCGATTGAAATTGAATCCAACGAAGACGGAGGTCCTGTGCCTGAGTCGGAGCGGGTCAGGAGTAGGGATCCCACTACCGACCTTCGACGGGGCGCCATTGGTGCCAGCACTGAGGGTCAGGAGCTTGGGGGTGCTCCTGGAGGCTACCTTAACAATGGAGGCCCGGGTAGCAGCCACTGCAAGGTCAGCCTTTTACCATCTACGGCTGGTCAGGCAGCTGGTTCCCTTCCTCGAACGCAATGACCTGGCAACAGTGATTCATGCTATGATCACCTCGAGATTAGACTACTGCAATGCTCTCTACATGGGGCTGCCCTTGTCCCAAATCTGGAAGCTGCAGTTAGTGCAAAATGCGGCAGCCGGGCTGCTGCTAGGTCTCTCCATACGAGATCACATCCAGCTTGCGCTGAAGGCACTGCACTGGCTGCCAATAGCATACGTTTCAAGGTGCTGGTTTTGACCTTTAAAGCCTGATATGGTCGGGGCCTGCCTACCCGAGAGACCGCCTTTCCCCATATGCGCCTCAGAGAGCACTGAGGTCAGGGTCGCAAAATCGCCTGACTCTCCCTAGCCCGAAATACGCCAGATTGGCCATCACAAGTGCTGGGGCCTTCTCAGTGGTGGCTCCACACTGGTGGAATGAGCTCCCGGAGGACATCAGGGCCCTGCGGGACCTTCTACAGTTCCGCAGGGCTTGTAAAACGGAGCTCTTCCACCAGGCCTTTGACTAGGAGCCGCCACTAGAACCATCGGAAACTGAACATGTTACGGCCCTACGCTACAATGTTGGTGCATGGCCTTCTCGCTTTGGACCATATATACTAACTACCGCCATCTGTATCTGTTAACATCTATAAATTGTTGGTTTTGTGAATGTTGTCAATTTTAATGTGTTTATTGTTTTATCAGTCTTACTGTATACACCACCTTGAGCCAGTTTGCCCCGGCTAGGCGGGATACAAATCTAAAGTAATACATAAATAAAAATTAGTTGTGAGCGAGGATTCCTGCCTCAGCCTGGTCCTCACTATGTGGCCCCCGTGTCTTTGGCACACCACTGAACGAGAATAGATGGGACAAGCAGGGAGTTTGCACAGGAAAGAGCGTTGTTGGGCTATTTGTACTGTTTCTAATGGGAAAATGAATTCCAGTGCCATGGGCATCTATTTAAGGTAGTCAATAAAGGCACTAATTGGTGTTAGAAGAAGGGACACTGTGTATGCGGTGTGTATACGTGTGTGTATCTGGACAGCACTGTTGCAATGCACCATTCTCTCTTGTAGAAAGTGGCCACCTTTTATCCTGTGGATCTAATTCTTTTGGTCAACTGGGAGTTCCTCATACTCTAAGAGGATGCTCTGTCCCACAGAAGATTGAGGTAAGGTGCCTGAATATGTGTTACTGACAGGGCTCTTTTTGTAGCAGGAACTCCTTTGCATATTAGGCGACCCACCCCTAATTGTAGCCAATCCCCCAAGAGCTTACCGTAGCCCCTGTAAGAAGAGCTCTGCAAGCTCTTGGAGGATTGGCTACATTAGGGGTGTGTCACCTAATATGCAGAGAAGTTCATGCTACAAAAAGAGCCATCCATCTATCTATCCATCCACCCACCCATCCATCCAGGGCTCTTTTTGTAGCAGGAACTCCTTTGCATATTAGGCGACACACCCCTAATGAAGCCAATCCTCCAAGAGCTTACAGTAGCCCCTGTAAGAAGAGCTCTGTAAGCTCTTGGAGGATTGGCTACATTAGGGGTGTGTCGCCTAATATGCAGAGAAGTTCCTGCTACAAAAAGAGCCATCCATCCATCCATCCATCCACCCATCCACCCATCCATCCATCCACCCATCCATCCATCCATGACTATGCTGTGATGCTGCACATTTGAATTGGCCTTTTACAAACGAAAGAGTCATTATTCAGGTGCAGAAATGAGATGGTTCCTTCCTCCAGATTCCATCACTCCAGATCAGTGATGTTGACTTTTTGGTTATATCTGTGCTTTCCACTTATTCATCTGTTTTGACAGTATTAGTATAGAACATTTCAAATACCATTATGTTTTGCACAGTCCACATTTCCTTAAGGGTTAGTCAGATTATTATAATATGCAAATGTGTCTCTTTCCCCCTCCTCCAATAGTCTTTAAAGGACAATGTGGTGAGCGTTGCAGCTGGACTCCGGCATGCCCTTGCTGCCACAGGTAAGTTCTGCAATTTTTAAATGTTTTTTTTGTTTTTTTTAAGGTGTTAAAGGTAAAGGTTCACTTGCTCGAAAGCCAGTTGAATCCAACTCTAGGGTTGCGGTGCTCATCTCCGTTTCAAAGCCGAAGAGCCAGTGCTGTCCAAAGACGTTTCCGTGGTCATGTGGCCGGCCTGACTAAACACCAAGGCGCACGGAACGCTGTTACCTTCCCACCGAAGTGGTACCTATTTATCTACTTAGTATGTGTGGGGATGTGATAATCATCCCCACTGGATTGGGGTAAGCATGAGTGTACCCCTAAATGTGATGATTTAATTGTCTGAAGAGGCCCTTAAAGGCTTGGTCCCCTTTCCCAAAGGGAAAACGATGTGGCTATTCCAACCCCTTGGTAATACTTTGGAACTGTGTACCAGGTGTTGTACTCCACAGAGACAGATTTCAGAAGCCAAGTATGTTAGGAGAGCCTTTGGTGTGTATGACCAATTATGGTGCCCTTCACTTTAATTGGATTGCAGCAGTGCTGTCTTGTCTATGAGATGACAAGGAAGACCTGGTCACAGAGAGAGGCCGATTTCCCACAAGCGCTGGTCCACACTCGCTCTTCCCTTTTGCCCTGATGGTACGAGTCAATTTCGCACAAGCTGCTGCGTGGCCACCCAGCATTTTGTCCTGGAGCTTCACGCTATTTTCCTCACGTCTACTCAATCCTCAAAAAACAAGATTGAGTAGACGCGGGGAAAATCACGCAAAGCTGTGGCAACATGCGGAGCAGCACATAGTGGGAAATTGACACGTACCATTGGGGCAAAAGGGAAGAGCGAACATGGAGCAGCACTTGTGGGAAAGCAGTCTCAGTCTAAATGCTGTGCATTGCCATTAACCGATTTCGTTCATGTAACTTACATATACCACAGGAAAATGGTCATTTTACACATCACACGGCACTTGATCTGCTGCTCGGTAAAGGTAAAGGTTCCCTTGCTCGAAAGCCAGTCGAGTCCGACTCTAGGGTTGCGGTGCTCATCTCCGTTTCCAAGCCGAAGAGCCAGCGCTGTCCGTAGACGTTTCCGTGGTCATGTGGCCGGCATGACTAAACACCAAGGCGCACGGAACGCTGTTACCTTCCCACTGAAGCAGTACCTATTTATCTACTTGCAATTTCTTGCTTTCGAACTACTAGGTTGGCAGGACCTGGAACTAGAGATGGGAGCTCACTCCGTCATGCGGCACCTCGGGTCTTGAACTGCTGAACTACTGACCTTCCACAGCCTGCAGTTCAGCGTCTTAACCACTTGAGCCACCGCAGCTCCAGATCTGCTGCTAAGTGTCCACTAATCAAAGAGCTCTAGCTATAGTTTGTGTTACCAGGGCTCTTTTTGTAGCAGGAATTCCTTTAGGCGACACACGCCTAATGTAGCCAATCCTCCAAGAGTTTACAGAGCTCTTCTTACAGAGGCTACTGTAAGCTCTTGGAGGATTGGCTACATTAGGGGTGTGTCGCCTAAAGGAGTTCCTGCTACAAAAAGAGCCCTGGTTCAACATTTCCCAAGTATAAGCTGGTGTTAATACAGATACTGATACACATTCCTAGTCTATTAGCAAGTGAATAGGTTTGACATTAATTTTCGGTTTCTTTTTGCACACATGTATTTACAAGAAAATGGTTCAGTGTTCCAGTGGGGAACTGGTATGGTGTCTCATGCAAAGCGGTCATGTCAAGGAAAAACGATTCCATCATTCTTGAGAGCAAAGGAACCTTGCAGAGTAACAGGTCAGTTTTCTAAAATATAATTTGCAGCTGTGCTTGTAGTGTATTATGATCTGAAATATTCAAGCATAAGACCATTCTTATAGCAGCTAAAATATAATTTGCATGTTTTAGATTTAACTCTGAATATTGGCTCAGTTTATTAAGCATTTGCGGTAAATATGAGGAGTGTAATTCATGAATCCACTTTGACAAATAATCTTACTTGAAAACTCTGTGACCGGGCATGGGATGACGTGAATGGCTTGGACAGGTTACTTGTTCCGACAGCCAGAGCATGGGTTATACTGTCAATCTGGGAATAAGGACAAGTTTTGCTCCGAAGGAGATTCACCCAGTAGTATAAATGTTTAGAAGGATGTTGAAAGTAAGTAAGATTAAGTTTCTTAAAGTAAAGGTAAAGGTTCCCTTACTCAAAAGCCAGTTGAGTCCGACTCTAGGGTTGCGGTGCTCATCTCCGTTTCAAAGCCGAAGAGCCAGCGCTGTCCAAAGACGTTTCCGTGGTCATGTGGCCGGCATGACTAGACGCCAAGGTGCACGGAACGCTGCTACCTTCCCACCGAAGTGGTATCTATTTATCTACTTGCAATTTCTTGCTTTCGAACTGCTAGGTTGGCAGGAGCTGGAACTAGAGACGGGAGCTCACTCCATCATGCGGCAAACTCGGGTCTCGAACTGCTGAACTACTGACCTTCCACAGCCTGCAGTTCAACGTCTTAACCACTTGAATCCACTGATCAGAATGCTCTGATATGACGCAGTAGGAGAGGTGCTATCAAATTCATGAGGATGCCAGCATGGCTAACAAGTGGAGTCAAGGAAGTAAAAAACCAAACAAGGCTTCTCCAAATGACTTGTGGGTGTTGGATGTACTAATGCAGTTTGCCTCAGCAATTGCAAAACAACATCCAGGGCAATATGTAGGTTTCCTTCTCCCTTTTTTCCCTTCCCTATTTGGTCAGCAAAGGAATAAGCCAAACTACGTGAATTTTGGATCTGTTGTTGTCGGAATTTGCTTTGTAGCAATTTGATTAGGTCATCTCTGTACTCTGATGTACTCTGCTAGGTTAAAAATTCTTCCATTTCTTTCTGGTTTTTTATAGGACAGTGGCAGGTGGTCTCTGGCATGTTAGACAGAGAAAGTAGTAACCCGGCAAAGCCGAAGCAGCTTCCTTTCCTACCTATCTTGCAATTGTGGCTCTAGTTAGTTCCTTGTTGATACAACCTCACATGGTAGTGTTCTGTACTGCAAAAGCTCCTCTTCTGCTAGTCAAGTATAATGGATTATCTTTGTAGGCCTTGAAAACATCCAAGTGAAGAACGTCACTTCGGGGTCGTACCATGCTGCATCACTTACAGGTAGGTTCCTCTGTATATGGTCACCTGATGACTCTGTTTGCTGCTGTCTGCCTGGTCTTCCAGCAGCACGTTATGACAAATCCTCAGAAATTTCCCTATCCCTTCCTTCTCTTTAACAAAAAGGGAATCAGCAAACCTGGAATTTCCCCCCTTCAGTCTGAAGAAGTGTGTCCAGGGCTCTTTTTCTAGCAGGAACTCCTTTACATATTAGGCGACACACCCCTAATGTAGCCAATCCTCCAAGAGCTTACAGTAGCCCCTGTAAGAAGAGCTCTGCAAGCTCTTGGAGGATTGGCTACATTAGGGGTGTGTCGCCTAATATGCAGAGGAGTTCCTGCTACAATCAGAGCGTCGCCACACTGCAGATTTGGTGGATTTATCCCCCCCCCCGGACTGATAGAAAGTGACTGTTGCCTTTGTGTTTGAAGGGTTGCAACCAATGTTCCCTCTAATCTGTGGAGTCTTGTGAGTAAAAATTCTACTTTGTGAGCTACTGGCATTAAAGTAGTGAGCGAGCGACTGGGCTGCTGCATAAATCAGTTTGCTCTGGAGCCCTACCTTCCTGAGCCAAGACAAAAATCTGTGAGCCGGAGGCTAAAAAACTGTGAGCTAGCTCTCACTTAACTCAGCTTAGAGGGAACACTGGTTGCAACCAATCTTCCCTCTAAGCTGTGCAGTCTTGTGAGCAAAAGTTCTACTTTGTGAGTTACTGGCATTAAAGTTGTGAGCGAGCGATTTGGCTACTGCATAAATTAGTTTGCTGTGGAGTCATTCTTCCCGAGCCAAGATAAAAATGTGTGAACCGGAGGCTAAAAAACTGTGAGCTAGCTCACACTAACTCAGCTTAGAGGGAACACTGGTTGCAGCTGTGTGTATAGGGGTGTGTGTGAAGAGATGGAAGTCGGCATCTCATTGTCAATATACGTCTTGTACTCAAGGAGGTTCTTCTCAGCAAGAGAACCGCTCCTCAAGTCTGAAGTCCCCCCCCAGAGATAAATACTTATTCTCTTGTTGCCGTGTCAATCTGTGTTGTTGCTGCATGTTGGAAATACGAACAACACACAGTGAACTCTTCTGAGTGTCCTTTTTCTTCTGCATTGTAGCTGTACTCTGTCTTGGAGAGCTCTCCTCTCAGAAATGATTATTTTGTTTGGAGAAGTCGACTTCCCAAAAAGATACATCAAGAGAATTGTAGTCCTCTTCCTAGGACTGCTTCTGTCCCTCTCTGTAGTGCTAGCTTCCTTTCTTGGGTTGCCAAAGGCAATTCTTTCTGCCTCTTCTACTACACTATGGCTGCGATCACACGGACTCAATAATCCACTTTCAGTGCACTTTCAAACTGGATTTTACTGTGTGAACTGGCAAAATCCAGTTGGAAAGTGCACTGAAAGTGGATTGAAAGTGGATTATTTAGGGTGTGTGACCGCAGCCAAAGTTTACTTGCCTTCCGGAGGGTGACTAACACTTATCTCTGGGGTCATTTCGTAGAAAAAGAGCTAGGGGAACTCATTAGCATAACTCATTAGCATATGCCACACCCCCTGACATCAGGGGCCCGGCGGTGGACCTGCAAGGCCAGCGGGAGTGCGAGGAAGCCCCGCCAAGGCCCTCCCTGGCCCCAGGCAGGCAGGGGTGGGGAGAGGCGGTGAGGAAGCAACTTACCCTCCCTCTTCTCCTGCCTCCTGGCTGAATGAGGGCTGGAAGCGGGGCAGCCGGAAGCAGGGGGCGGGGCTTCCTCATGTCCCCCGCCCCCCTGCACCTCACCCCTGTTCCCCCCCGAAATGACCTCTGTCTCTGCCCACTCTGTCAACTGCCTTCATGTGGGTTCCAATTGCTTCCTGGTACCTGATCGGTACGCGTGACCTGTAATTTCCTTACAGAACTGAGATGCTTTCTCCTATCAAAGTTTGTTAGAAGGTGAGGAGTACAGTCCCTGAAAGCTTTACCTGTATTGAATGGAAAACTGAAATGAGTTTCCTATTAAAGCCGATTTACACGAAAACAAATAAGATTAATAGCAGTTACGAGGAGGAATGAAGTTGTTGAAGCAGATTCTGAAATATTAACCACTTTGTTTTCCTGATATATTTTTTTTAAAGCTGAAGGAGAGCTGTATGTTTGGGGGAGCAACAAGCACAAGCAGCTAGTGAGCAAAGATGATTTTCTTTTGAAACCTCGGAAGATCGAGCCTCACTGTTTCTTGGACGAAAAGGTTAGAAGAGTCTGGAATGGATGGACACACGTGGTGGCGCAAACGGGTAGGGCATCTGAAGATGGAAATTGCATGTAAAAATATCTACTTTTGACCGGATGGCTTCTAAAAAGGATGCTTAGGCTAAACTGTCGTGTTCTAGTGTGGCAAATGGCTCCTGTTGTACACTACATTACCTTTCCTCTGACACCAATGCAGTGCCCTTGGCCTCTTCCACATTCTCATTTTTGTCACGCGTTTGTCGCTATCGCTTTGGGTCCCGTCCCCCCCCCTTTTCCACATCTGTTTTTGCTCCCTCTGGGACTACTAGAGAGAGCAAAACACATTGGGGGGTGGGTGGGGAACCCTGAAGCAATAGGGATGAACAAGTGATGAAAATCGGAATGCGGAAGAACCCCTTGGCTCCTGCCACAGTTATAGGTTGGCAGAAGGGCAGTCACTTGCACAGGATGCTCATGATTTTGTTTTCATGTTCCAGTCCTTTAAGCATCTTTGTATTGTTACTATAAAACTTGGAGACCTTGAAAAAGATGGCAATAATGTCGAAGGCAACTTATCAATACAGACAGGAGAAGGTATTTCTGAACATTGTGGGATCTAGTTCCTGGCCGTGTTTGCTGTAGCAAACGAACATTAACAAAGCAGATAAAGGGGGATTGCAGTATAGTACTGATATGAACAAGATAGAAATACTGCAAATGTGCATTATTTAGATTTATATAAATGCAAATTACACAATTTTAAACCATATATTCATGTATGTTTTACAAACAACACAAGCCAATTAACAGTTGGCAAAGGATGTTTTACAAATAACACAAGCCAAATCAGTTGGCAACAATGGACGAACTCCCCTGGCGTTGAGACTCGTTTCGAAGCGTCTTTTTCATGAACTCCCCTGGAGTTGAGACTCGTTTCAAAGCGTCTTTTTCAAACAAACAATCTCATATAGCTGTGCATCCACATGGTCATAAATCTTCCAAATTGGACTATTCTTCCTATACATTTTGATGTTATTCACAAAGTTCTAACAAAAATCTTTAGGACGGGTTGATCAACCTTAGACCATGGCTACCCTTTTATTATATGTCCTTGAATAGGAAGACTCTCTCAATTGGATTGTAAATTGCCCGATCAAAGGCTTGCAGAAACGCAACATCAGACGTGAAAGCTGCTGCTAATATTTGGGTATCTCATTATAATAGGACTAGGTCTTGCAGTGCTCCAGATGTAAATTAGGTTACATAAGGATAGTATAGAACTAATTTAACTGAAGGCATTTCTAAGTATAGCAGAAGGGTGGTGAAGAAAAGGAGACCGAATGATCATCTTATGTCTTACAGAAGGTGAGTCACTCTTGGTTCAGAACAAGTGCCATTTCTTTAACTGGTATGTCTGATAACAAAGGCAGCCTTAATTAAGGAAGTTTATTTGCCTTGGTGTTCTTCTGAATAAATTCACTGAGCTGTTTGTCATGTAGCATCAAATCAAATTACTGTTCAACTGGGAAAAGAAATTCTCAGTTCGACTGAAGTTTTATTAGTTCCTTTCCCAGCAGGTTGATATTTTTTTTAAAATACCGTTACAATCCCAGTCTGCCTCCTTAAGAAAATCCAACTGAAGTGGTAAAAAACTTTCACCATCCAGCCCTGGGAGAGCAAAATGGCATAGCATTGTGTCCCAGCCCCATATACATTAGTGAATTTGAACTTGCTTCTGTAAGTGTACAGAAAAGTGCTTTATTTGAATTTTTTGCATTGTTCAAATATTCCTGTGACAGAAATAAACTGGAAACTCTGTGTCGCATGCTAAATTCTGTTGAACAAGTGAGGATTCTTGATAAGATTCAGTTTTCTGTTATTCATTTTGAGCTTCTGAGAAATTGTAGTGAAGCGCCACCGGAGCATCCAGCAGTAGCCTGCCGGTTTAAGTCAGCGCTTCCAGGAAACGAATGTCAATAGTATATCAAATTGTTGTATTTACAGGTGACATAGAACTGGTAGGAGTCGCTTAGAAGACATAAACAAAATTCAAAATGACCTTAATATGCTGGAAAGTTGTATTGCAGCTGACCAAATAAAATGCAATAGAGACAAATGAAAAGTTCTCCATTTAGGCATAAGAAAAAAAAAAATCAAATGTACAGGTATAGGAATGGGAGGGGGGAGATAATCTGTCCAGGCAGTAACGTATGTGAATAGGGTCTCAGGACTGCAGTTCAGCACAAACCTAGCATGAGTAATCAGTCTGATGTAGCTGCAAAAAGGAGCTACTGCAATTTTAGGCCATATTAATAAAAACGGTAATATCGAAGTCACAGGATGTAATAGTTTCATTCTGCTCTGTGGTATTCAGACCTTGTGTGGAATATTAAGTCCACTTTGGTTTACTACACTTCAAAAAGGACGTGGACAAATTAACAGGCTCAGAGGTAGGCAGCGAAGTATGGAAAATAAATTCCACAAGATTGAACCGACTGGGTATGTTTAGCCTGAAGGAGAGAACATTGATCAGACCTGAAGGGCTGTCACATGGGAAGAAGACACAGTCTAGTGTTTGCTGCTCTAGAGGCAAGAGTATCTCTAATGGATATAACCTATATGACATCGGTTTCAGTTGGAGTTGGTGGGTTCTTCCTCACTGAGAGCCAGTTTGGTGCAGTGGTTAGGAGCATGGACTCTGATCTGGGAGAACTGGGTTTGATTCCCCACTCCTTCACATGCAGTTGCTGGTGTGACCTTGGGTCAGTCATACATTCTTTCAGAGCTGTTCTCTCATGAGCAGTTCTTGAAAGAGCTCTCTCAGCCCCACCTACCTCACAGGGTGTCCGTTGTGGGGAGGGGAAGGGACAGGAGATTGTAAACTGTTGTGAGACTCCTTCAGGTAATGAAGGGCGGGGTATAAATCCAATCTTTCCTCCTCCTCCTCTTCCTCCTCCTCCTCTTGCCCGTCCTGGCAGAACCTGAATACTCTTCTGTTGGGAATGCTCCAGTTTTTAATTTCCTGCACTGGGCAGGGAGTTGGACTAGGTGGTCTACTTAGGCTCCTCCCAGTCCTAGGACTCTGTCATGTAGAACGAAATAATATTCATTGTGATTATTTTTTGTTTCATCATGCTTTTCCGCTAAACAAATAGCTCCCAAGGCCCCAAGACATATAGCAGTAAAAATAATAATCAAGAAATAGCAATAAAACCAGAGGTCATTTCGGGGGGGGGGATCGCGGGGGATCGCAGTTTCCCCGGGTGAGGTACGGGGGCGGGGCACATGACGAAGCCCCGCCCCCTGCTTCCGGCCGCCCCGCTTCTGGCCCTCATTCAGCCAGGAGGAGGCAGGAGAAGAGGGAGGGTAAGTTGCTTCCTCCCTGCCTCTCCCCACCCCTGCCTGCCTGGGGCCAGGGAGGGCCTTCGTGGGGCTTCCTTGCACTCCCGCCGGCTGGGACCGTTGGGGGCGGTGTGTGTGGCCTTATGACACACTTCCGGTGATGTCAGGGGGTGTGGCATATGCTAATGAGTTATGCTAATGAGTTCCCCTACCTCTTTTTCTACGAAACGACCCCTGAATAAAACCATAAATCAGTCAAATTATAGCATCAGAATTTAGAGTTCACTCACCTCCAAATACCTTCTGAAACGAAAATGTCATAATCTGGCATCTGAGGCTGGAAGAATATCCTGAGGAATGGCCTGTGAAGCAGGGACCCAGCAAAAGATCTGTGGGTGGAAGTGACCTTAAAGGGCCCGGTCAGCACTTTGAATTGTACCCGTAAGCAAAGTTGGCTCAGTGGGTCTCCTACAGTACTGGGTTACATGTTCCCCACAGTAAGTCCCTAGTAGGGGTTTTGCTGCAATTGGAACAAATGTGGCTTTTGAACACTTTAAAAAGGTGGCTCTATGTAGAGATGTTGCATTACTTCAGCCTGCCTATAATGAAGGCATATGTAACTATGCTCAGATGGGTTCTCTTTATGGCCAGCCCATAGCTGGCAAATTTGCCGAAGCTGGCAAAGGGCACTGCTGGCTACTTTGCCAAGGGGAAAACTGGTTCTTTAGGGCAAAGCATGACCTCATCCAAAACTTCTATTATGCCCAGTTGCTAACTTCTACTATACCCAATTCTATTATACCAATTGCTAATATCTTTCTATTCTAAATCATATTATCTTATAGCACCCGCTAATATCCTTCCATTCAGTTTCTTCAATACTTTCCTGATGTTTGCATCAAATACCTTACATAAAAAGGTAAAGGTTCCCTTGCTCGAAAGCCAGTCGAATCCGACTCTAGGGTTGCGGTGCTCATCTCCATTTCAAAGTCAAAGAGCCAACGCTGTCCAAGATGGTCATGTGGCCGGCGTGACTAAACACCAAGGCGCACAGAACGCTGTTACCTTCCCACCGAAGCGGTCACTATTTGTCTACTTGCAATTTCTTGCTTTCGAACTGCTAGGTTGGCAGGAGCTGGAACCAGAGACGGGAGCTCACTCCATCATGCGGCACACTCGGGTCTCGAACTGCTGAACTACTGACCTTCCACAGCCTGCAGTTCAGCAGTTTAATGTCATTCCAGTTGGCTTTATTCTTCAATAAACCTATTTCTCCTAAAATACAAAAGTAAACCAAACGGAGGTGCCTCTCATTCCTGGGGCTGAGAAAGTCAGTGGGAAGGAAACTTCCCTCCTCCTGTGAGAGGACTTTGGGGGGGGGGACACTCATGGGAGGGATAAAGTTGGATTGTTCTCTCCCTGACCTTCTCAGAGGGCTAGCCGAGGATAGTCGGAGACTATCCCAGCATGGTTTCATTTACTTCACTTATAACCTGCCTTTCTACTCAGTGGGGATCCAAAGCAGCCTTTTAGGAAAAGTCATGATGGGGAATGCTGCTCTCCCACACACAGTCTACAGTTCCTAGTGGCAATGCCAGATAGAGTCCAGTGTCCCCTATTTTATGACTCTCTCTGCATGTAGTATGTAGTATAGCGTGTCTGGCTGGTCAGCCAGTCTTGTATTTTATAGGCATGTAGGAAGAGAGAGTGAAAGTGTTTGTAT